CATACCACATTATAATGAAAGCATGGCTTGTGTGAGACACAATAAACTATCAACACTTACATAAGTCATTGATTTGAACCCAGACAGGACAATAGTTACAGTTATTCTCATCACAACACTTTATTCAACATGTCAGTTTTGATATTAGATATTTTAATGTAAATCAATTATCCCTTTCACTTCAGTGGGACAATTTACAAATGAATGTTTCTATAAATGATTTACATACAGTACAATTATGTACAATTTACACAAATTTTCATAAGTCAGTCTCACTATCTCCCTAAGAAATGTGTGGTGTGTGTTGGTCCCACCCTTTTCTTTTCCATGCTGTGTGTGTGTGTGTGTTTTACAGAGAAGGAAAGGGTGTGACCACCAAACGCCACATGCCAACACAACCATATTATTCTCAGATGGAGAATTTCCAGTTTGATTTCATGACACTCATACTGTCCTCAGATAAGGGGTAAGGTTCTGATGTCATGGGAGTTGTGATGTCATATAATTAGCACCAGTGATGACATTAGTGTCATGTGAGAAGCAGTTCTATAAGTAGGTAATAGGATCCTGTAAACACCTACGCACCTATGCATATATTAAAGGTCCCATATTTTACACCTTTCTGGAGTTTTATTTGAGGTTTTGATGTCCTTAAGAATATATGTTTGCGGTATAAGTACCAAAAACCATCTCAATATATTTTTACAGCTCCTTTCTCAGCAGCTCTGCTGAGAACAGGTCGAGTTTGGCCTTTCTAATTAATATTCATGACCCTCTCTTCTGATTGGCCTGTTGTTTTCTGAGTGACGCACGGCCAGGCCAACCACAGGTAACTAGGGTCAGCCGATGTCACAGCGCTAGCTGGAGGCAGCAAAACAAAGGGGAAACTGGAGGCGGCCCATTCAAACCAGCAGATTCGGCTACATAAGGAGCTTAAAATATCATCTTCTTGTGATGTTGGGTGCCAGAATTGACGTAATACAGCCTCAAATTAGAAATTTCATCGCATATCTGCTGCCACTACCAGACAAAAAACCGACGACATCTGTGGTTAAACGCGATAAAACGAGCAGACTGGACCGAAACGATAGTCAAAAATGCTCGCGTTTGCAGCGCACACTTCTTATCAGAAAAGGTTCAATAAAGTATTGTCTTTTGTTGTTATGGGCGCGTCTACAGTTTTCTTTGCCGTATGTCTATGTTTCTTGCATCTCACGACTATGTCGTGTATGAAATAATGTCTGTGTGCATGTGTGTAAAACAACAAACTGACGATTTATATATAATCATTTGTAATTGTATATACATTGTTGTGATTAATTGTGGCTGGAACAATAATGTAGCTGTAAAAATAGTTGCCTGCTGAAATTGAAATGTATATACATCTTCATCATGACTAGATAGACACAGTGAGTTTGTCTTTACTATACACATTAGATTTGATCCACTTCATAGTAACAATCCTGTCAGATCGTCCATCCTTTGAGTGAGAGTGTAACGTTACAGATGGGCCGATCTGGTTTCGTGGTTAAAGTTAACCTTTTCGACATGTTTCCCTGTTGTCGTTGCTCAGCATTAGCATGGACATGACGTTGTCTGGGGGTTTGGCAAAAGGAGATTGGGAGGGTGGGCAGTGCTCGGGGTGGTGACTAAAGGCGGTGATTGTGTAGTTCTGACGTCAACTTTTTACGGAAGTCACAATGGTTCATGAAAAATCACAGCTACTTTAAGCAGGCTGTGTGAATTTTACTGTGGACTAACTGTTTTGAAACTTAAATGGTAGTTACATAGCACCTAGACCTCAGTTACAATGAAAAAAACCAGGACATTTCAGTTTTGACAATATGGGACATTTAATGTATACACACACAAACGAGCAGGTTCTGGAAAACAAAGTATATCCTCAATATCATGTGTCAGTTATTGTTTTTATAATTTTTAATAGTATCTACAATGCTGTTCTAAAGTGAAAAATGTCAGATAACAAGTAAGAATTAATATGAAGACCACAATTGTCTTTTGCCACCAGTTCTACTTGGAACATCGCTCTGAGTAAACAGATTTGGATTATAGCAGATTATTCCTGTTTATAGGGCGCCACTGCCTCTGATGTCTTACATGGCACACACAGCAGTCCCTGTGGGACTTGTGGTGTGATGATTCATTAGAGGAGAACTTGAACGTCATGTTGAGATTGTGAATTATGTTAGTCACAAATCACAACTGTAAATCACAGTTTACTTTAAATAGTGTTGAACTTTATGATAAAAAGATGGAGAATCCGTTATACACATTACTAAGCTATCAGGCCTAAACAAGCTCAATCTCAAACATATTATTTGGGGTAAAGTAAAGTTAAATAAAATCAACATCAGACCATAACAAAGTATACTTTTGGTAAAGTATTATGCATATGTGTGTTCTTTGCCCTGTTGGCAATGTATACTTTGCTCATAAAATTTGTCAGCAGTTCAGTGAACTTTGACCAGTAGAACTGAATGTTCATCAACACTACCAGGTTAAACAACTCTCTCTCTTGCTCTATTCCGTCTTCCTTCTTACCACCAATCATATATCACTTTGTCTCCCTCCCTACTTTATTCACCACTCTCATGTTATCATTCTATCTTTATGCCTTTTTATTCTTTTTTCAATGTAGTGGAATGGATGGAGGCAATGGACACCTTTCTGCTGTTCTGTGTTCGGTTTAATCATTACCTCAGAGTGTCGAGCTAAATGTACTGTCACTGTGAATAAAGTGCATACATGCGTTCTTAAAAAAAACTTTAGGTACCTATAAGGAACAAGTTAAAAATACAACCTTATATGGGACACAGAAAATTAAACTGGATGGAAGTGTAGCTAAATTAAAAATGCATCAATATTTCTGTGGCCTTGTTGATAAGGATGGACAAGCTAATTAATTAGATAATCAGATGATGAACATGTTGTGTAAGCTAGAGAAAGCACATAACAAGGTCCCCAAAAAATGGCTGTGAGAGACTCCACGTACAGCTCATATTTCAGCCTAATGATGTTTCATTATGTCAATTAAAGGAATAGTACACTTAAATAATCTGTGAAATTTTTCAACTTGTGAAATATAATTTTTTATACATATTGACTTTTGTGTTTTTTTTGTGTGTGTGTGTCCTTTGATAGCCCTTGGTCACTCTTAGCTGCCTTTTGGGTTAGAGCTGTGTAATATTTTATTTTTCTTTCTTTCTTTTAAAATTATATTATAATAATTTCTAAAGAATCATGCAACACTGAAGATTGGAGTAATGGCTGCTGAAAGTCAGCACTGCCATCACAGGAATAAATTACATTTTAAAAATATATTACAATAGAACACAGCTATTTTAAAATTACAGTAATAACCTAATAATATTTCACAGTATAACTGATTTTTTTTTTTTTTATCAAATAAATCCAGCCTTGGTGAGCATGAGAGACTTCTTTCAAAAACAAAATATGTAGTAAATCAAAATAAAGACCTTGTATACATCAGTGCTATATATACAAGTGCCACTCTATGCATATCAGCATTATGTAACAGTGAAGATATGGCCTCTATCTTCTAGTGTACTTGTGCATTTTTCAGCTTATGCCTCCAAAAAGATTTCTGGGTTTTTGGGACGACTCCCTTTTCTCCAATCACATTATGCATCTAGCTAAAAATACAGAGATTGTTGCCATAGTAATCCATCATTATTACAAAACCCATGCTCACAGCAGCAGATGAGGAAAGAGGATGTTATGGGAGCTGTAAAAAGATTATATTCATTCAGACAGCACACAAATGTTCAAAGAAAACTATAAATCCAACCACTTTAGTCAAGACCAACATGAAATTACACCCTAATTAATAATTGCGATAAATCAAGATTGTAAAGAAGTCTAGGTTTCAATCACCACATTTCGGTGGAGAAAAATGTATATACATGAATGTGAACTATGCTATTTAAGGCATTCTAAGTAATCGGTGTAATGAGACGTTTCCTGTCTCGAGGGAAAATGTAGCAATCACATGACTACTTGCAACTATTTGGCGTCTTCCATCCGCACTGTTTGTATGACTCCTGTACAGCATTCCATGTCTATTTTCCATTTAGTGTTTGTTACCTAGTAACATTTTTACATTTCAAACCAGTTGCTCTCTTAGAGAATGCATTCACATGCCGACCTGATTCAGAATGTGCCAATGGTATTTCCCATTTATGAGTAGTTTTCTGGCATTTGGAATGTAATCCAGAGCTTTACTTGGGAATGTATGTTAGAACAGCGGAGGCACTCACAGACTGCGCCAAGGACACAAGAGGGCACACATATATGGTGAATGACCCATAAAGCACGATATCTACTAACACATTAGTCCACATTCATACACAACATCCTTACTCAAGAGGGGTCACATGAGGAAACACAAACGAGCCACTACAGTCTGCATGTACACAGTTCTAACATACAATCCAGCCCAAATCCCTCGCACTCCTGCGCAAATACACCCACAAATAACAGGCTTAGAGAGTGCTTGCAGAAAGCTTTTAGTGAAAGGTTTAGCAAACCAGTAATATGCCTGCTGGGGCTCGGCCAAAGCAGCGGTGAGCTGTACATCTGGCGTCCGAATCCAGGGCCCTCTGACAAATGAAAGCGATGTTGCTTATTTATAGTTTAGAAAGGCTTTCGCTGCATTATATCTTGTATCAAAAGCATTACAGCCTACATTTGAACCATGTACACTGACCAGGGTCTGAACCTACTGTTCAAGTACACTGCTGTTTACACATTAGTAGCCATAAACTTCGACCGAATTTAATCTGCCTTTGGAGGCTTTGCTGCATGGCTATTTGTTTCAAGTAAACAAACATATGTGCTAACCGGAGTGCTAATATCAGCTAGATTTTGTAGTTGTCAAAGTATTAAGTGTAATGTCAAAGAGGACATGTCGTACTTGTGCTATAATCTCAAACACACAGAGAAATAACAAAATGTACCACAACAAAACATTTCTTTTTATTTTGTTTCATATTCTCAAAAACAGAAAAAAACCATGACATAAAAATCATTTCTCTACCTATATCACTTACATCATATGATAGAACTAGGAATGGAATGTCACATTTCCATTCACATTTGATAGAAATATTCTTATAAATAAATAGGGTTCTCTTTAAAATCTCTGGAGTGAGGATGCTAATCTTCAACACGTGGCTATGGAATGAAGAGGAACCAAGGCGCTGAAATATATTAAAATGTCCAAGAGAAAAAGTCTTTAATGATCAGGAATGTGAAAAGGATTTTGTAAATTCCCTTTTCCACACACCCATCATTCCCTACAAGAGCAAAGTCTCTTCCCTTGAGTGCTGTTTAGTGTTTCTAAAGCACCTTCATGTATGTTGCTTAGTTGCTTGTCATATCAATTTATGATTGTGCTACCGTTGCTACAAACCCACCTCTTTTTAAAAGGTGTGTAGAACATCATATTTTGCAAATGTCTTTTTATAAACGTCTCTTTTAATGCAAGCATCAGCTTATTTCCCTTATCATTCAAAGATGAAGAGAACGAATAAAGATACACGAGCAGATGAGATGTCACAGAATCTCATCTACTACCGCCCATCTGCGATCCAGGGCGAGCAGAAACAACAGGCATGGAGAAGGACCACACTTCTTCACCCCAGTGAGAAATTACAAAAGAGTTCAGTCCCTTCAGCTCTGGAGGGTTTCTGGGAATTCAGGATTTTCCTTGGCCCTCGCCTACATAACTGCTCTCCGCTAGAGCTATGAAAGAGCATAGCAGGGCGAGCTAAGCGTGAACTTTAAACCCTGATGGCATGGTCAGGATGCCCACGGTAAGCCTTGGCATGGCAAATGCACAGTAAGCTGTTGCACGAGCATTTAGTCATTGCTGTGCTCTTCAAGCTGTGACAGAATGCTGATGAGGTTCTGCAGGCCGAAGATGTAGCCGCTGTCTCCACCTTCATGAACAATGCCGTCCTCTCCATAATCACGACACGTTGTGTGGGCGAAATCGATCATTCGGACGTCCACCATTGGTGAAGCGCTGCCGGAGTGATCGCGACGCCCTCCGTAGGCTCCCTCCTCATCGTCGTCATCCTCATCTTCATCATCGTCCTCCTCATCTTCCTCCTCTCCTCCTCGAGAGGGCCGGGATCTAGATGGGGCAGGGGGTGGAGCCCCGTCGTAGATGATGAGAAGAGAGGAGGAGAAGAAACGATAGCTCTCGCAAGCCTCCAGCACCGCTCTCATCTCTCTCAGTCTTTGCAGCACTGGGGTCAGAAGTTCTCTGCGCAGAACTCGGCCGTCACTGAAGAACTGGCACAGAGCCTCTTTAAACCCGGCCAGACTCAGCTTACGCCCGTGATACTTGTTCATGAATATCAGCTGCCCTGTAGCACTGTGATACATCTATTGGGAGAAATACAGATCAGAATTACACTTAGGGTTTTACCAATCATTAAAACAAAGCCATATCCGATGTAAAACTTTTTAGCATGTGCATGTATGTAGACTATTTAGAAGATATAGTAGTTACCTGCATGCCACAGAGGCGTACTCCAATAGAAGAGGAAGTGCTTTGTTGGCATTTGCGAATCTGGTTTGCTTTCTTCTCCTCGGAGGCATCATCCCCATGCTGACGTGTTCCCATCTTCAGATCGAGAACGCATGGAACCCGGTACCGCCATGTTAGATTCTCCAGAAGAATAAATTCTATGAGGGGTCATGGGTCAAGGAGGAAAAACTACAAAGTTGAATATCTAATTGTATAAATTAGCTTACATGTCTTACAAATCATCATACAGTTTTAATTTGTAAGTGTGTCCACTCGTTAGAAAGGATACTGTGCTGGTTTCTGTGTTTGGAGTTCTCCTTCATCCTCTGTAGGTGCTGCTGGTGACACTGCAGACTCCAAGGGTTGTGTTTGATCTGAGGAACCACGTTTCCTTTCTCCAGACTGTAGTACAAAACCTCTGCCTTATCATCCCGATTACTGCAAAGATCAAAGGAGAAAGGGTTAACAAATTACTATCATTATGTGCATGTGAGTGTGCCAACTACTGAATTATATGTTAAGGATGTACACATCACTGTTCAAAAGTCTGGGGTCTGTAAAATTGGTACATTTAAAAAAAAAAAAAAAAAAAAATGTAACAATGTAAAGGTCTTTACTGTTGTTTTTTGTATCAATTTAATGCATAATTGCTCATTAAAAGCATTCATTTCTTTAAAAAATAATCTTATTGACCCCATACTTTTGAACGGTGGTTTATTAACCATGTGTCCTTCCTTACCTTTTGCCCTTCTCCTCTTTGCGACTCTGTCTGGCTCTCTCGTTTTCTGGTAATAGGCCTGATGGTTTCTTTTTCCCCCACTTAACGAGCTTATTCTTGGGCTCGCCATCAGCAGAGGGCTCTTTGTTTTCCAAATCAGCTGGATCACTGTGGAGTGGGTATGCTATCAAACACAGATTCCCCTCCTCATCTTCCTCAAAACTCACCGACACCACACCTGGAGAGAACACGAGGGAAAGAAAGAGAAAGACAGAAAAATAATGAGTAACACTGGACGTTGTATTGATGCATAAACATCATATGATACAGATATGATGAATCATATGATGATTATAAAATGTCGCTCTTACCAAACCGGCTTAAACTGTACTTTAACACACATAAAACATAAAAGAGAAGCAGGGGGTTGGAAAGGGAATGAATTTGTGTAGAAAGAGGATATTCAACACTGTCATGTAAATGTGAGAATGTGGGAGAGTGTTTTGCATGCCTTCTAGTGCTAAGCAGAAAAAGACACACAAAAAACACAGGAGGCAAGAATGTACAATTCAATGAGCTATTTTATTACCACTCATAGGGCAAAACATCTGCAAGATTCCCACATCAGATATCAAATACAAGAAAGCATTTGACAACTTCACAGTCGGAGCTTTACAGAAACTGCATCACTGAAATTTACAGACAGCAACCATTTGGAAAACTGCTTTGGTACATTCAGAATACAGATCAATACATAACATACAAAGCAAAAATATACATACAAGTAGCAAGTGGTCTAAGACATGATTTATGGTGGTATCTCATGATAACTACAGATGGAACTAAGCATCACAAGGGGATTATGGGTAGTTGAGTGGGGTAGGGGCCAGGGGGTAAAGACAGAGAAAGAAAGAGAACAACAAAACCTTTTCAACACTGAATGGCATAATCAGCATTATAACATACAATTCTTATTTCAAACACACAAGCTTTAACCTGTCTGTAATGGTTGTGCTTAAGTATGTATGTGTGAGCCTCGGACACTAGGACCTGCATCCACTCAACCTGTAGAACGATGACATCAACATCCTCTGCACCAACTCTCATACACACTTTGGCTTATACTTGCTGAGTCAGAAAACATGTGTGGTTAGTCTCTTTCAGTGTGTGTCAGGCTTTATGGTGAGTAAGAAAAACACAGATGAGTCTTATGTTTGTGTAAGAGACGAGCATGTTAGAATGTAAGCATTGTAAGTATGCACAAGCATGTGAGAGTGTGTCCGCATTCTTTCCTATACGTCATATCCTCTCCCTGCCTGACAGCTTTTTTTTAGCCCTACACCCTTGCCCAGTCAAAGACACCGCCAAATACACTGTGAAAGATGCCAATCTGTCTGTGTGCGTGAGTGTGTTTAAATATATCAGACTAAAAGAACTGAACATGATATTCCATCAAATGCCATGAACATAAATCTGTGTCCAAAAGTGTTATGAGAGTGTAATGTGTCTTATAACTATGTATATATGTATCTATGCATGTATGTATGTCTATCAATCTGAATTTCTTTGATCTATCCATCTCTCTCTATCCATCTATCCCTCTATTTATCCATCCATCCATATCTATCTATCTATCGCAATTTAACTGTCATTCAAAAAGGGGCATCCAATCAGTTACTGCATATGAAAGTGTGTGTGGCCTGCACTGTAGGAAATAAGTCAGTGTAACATTCATATAAATTCTTCAAAACAATGATTTAAAGCACTCGTTACTCAATTTTATGAATAGATAGCGTGAAAAAGAAAGTGTGAGAGAGGAAGGAAGACTTGTCACACACAATAGCATACGAACAAGTAAGTGGCTGATTGGTTGTAATGGTCATGTTCTGTTTAGTGTCCACTAACCTTTGTACTGTGGCGTGAATTTGCGGATCTCGGGTGGCAGGCTCTTGTAAAACTGGTGTTCTCTGGGTATTAGTGGTTTACAGATGGTCTGTTCCCCAAACCGCAGTACACAAGAGTGGCCGCCGACTTGATGGACAAATGGTTCCAACATCACTCCTCCCTTCATTTCTCCTTTCCCTGGGTATCTACACCCCTTTATCAGCGCTTCTAAAGCCGGACTCATCTTCAGTACACATCCGTCTCTCTCAGGCTGATCTATAGCTTTCTATTTGTCTGTCTGTCTTCTCCTCCTCTGTTGTTCCTGTTTCCTTGGTGGCAGTTCAGGCACAAAAGGCTGAGAAAACCAAAGAAAAGGAAAAATATTCCTGTATCTTCTTGTTAAAGGAATATGGAAATGGTAATCCAGAAGGTGTTATGTTATAATGTTTTTTTTCTAAGCGTAGCAGGGTTATTTAACACTGTGGACAGACTGTGAGACTGTATCTGTCTCGGTCTCTGCTGTAACTGAGAGATCTGTTCTAAGCAGGCAGGAAAAATATCACAACAGGTCACATGGTTCCATCCCCCTCCTGAAACTCAGCCAATCACAGCACAGCAGCTGTTGTCGGGTGGGAAGTGAGAAAGGGGAAACTGAACAAACAAAGGGACAGGAAAGAGAGAGAGTGTGTGAGAAACAGATATAAGTGGGGGGTTGTTGGAGTTAAAGACCAAAACAAAGAGATAAGAGGAATCAGGAAAGGAAAGAGAAAGTACACTCTTTCTCAGCAATTTTCTCCTGCTTGACTAGGAAACCAAGAGACTGTTGAAGCATGGAAAATGGAAAATATAACCAGAAATTCCAATTCTGTATTCACAACGGACATTGAAGGGGATGCGTTCCACTAATCTTCAGGATTTCTCAATGAGTAATTCATAAAATTTTACCTATGGTCCCCTTAATCTTAAATATTTTAGTTGGAATACACCATGTTTTAAAGCTTAAAGCTCCAAGTATACTTTGTGTTTTTTATGTGTACACTAGGGTGTGCCTACAGTGTTTGTGACGGATATACCGTCATCAAACTAGTACGTGCAAGCAATCTTTAAAATAATATACATGGAAAAATACTACATTTTGTTAATATACTTATACTACCAACATTGTAACAATACAAAGGTGGTTGAAAATCAGTGAACTCTCCCTTGAAGTGTGCAACAAAATAATGACTTCTTCAAAAGTTTCCTGAACATTGCTTCCACTGGATTCAGTGGATTGGACGAACAGATACATTAGTCCTGCCTAAAACTTACATTACTGGTTGATTCAATTAAAATTGCACTATGCTGGTCAGGTCTTCTCATTGTGCAGGTATACATGACACAATGCGAAATCAAAATTTTAAAGATTAAATACAGACTGTGCATGACCTTTATCTCTCAGGTCAAGCACACAAAGCTGAGGCCAACTGTGGTGTGATTAGACGCTGGACAAAGCTGCTCTATTATTTCGCTATCTAAATCTGTTAGTCTGTCTGACTAACCAAAAATCGTATGGTACTGGTATGATTTCAGAAAGTCATTTTAAAAACCCTGAACCCCTCACTGAACTCTGGACCCCTCACATCCAGCACACTCCCTCTTTGAACTGTTGCCATCTGGTCGACGCTACAGAGCACAGAGCACCAGAACGACCAGACACAGGAACAGTTTCTTCCCTCAGGCCATCCATCTCATGAACACTTGACAATAACTGTGGAACACACACTATTTATTCACTCATACACTTATTTATCTAACACACACACTCAGTCTACATTTCAATTTGCACATAATATACCTGTACATACAACTGTCTATTGTTATATACCTGTACATACAATTGTCGATTTGTATATTTTTATTCCTTAGTTACTTGTTCTATTTTTCTATTTTTTATTATCTGTGTTTTTGTTCTGTCACTGTCATTCTGTTACACTGTGGAGCTTCTGTCATGAAAACAAATTCCTCGTATGTGTAAACATACCTGGCAATAAAAACTCATTCTGAAAATAAAAATTACTGTTTGCAAACGCAATATTGCTGTTAAAAGTAATGTTTGATAGCACCACAGTGTTTACATCTTGATGATTTATTTTATATTAAACAGAGAAAGTATTTTAATTGATGTATACACACACACACAATACATTTTTCAACAAAATCACTCAATAATAAATCAAAGCTCAGCAATGAGCAGTACTGTAATTTAGTTAAAAAATGAGGCAAGGATGACGCTCATGGTTACATAAAACACACGTACATACAAACACATTAAATCATTCCTGAGTTCCTGGGACAACAATGGGACAACCGGACAATGAGACAACCATGCCTTTGCACACAAACCTGTGTACACACACACGCACCCCACAAAGTAATCTACTCTGTGCTACTTCCCTAGACTGGGATTAGTGTGTGTATGATCAATGAGCACTGGGTGAAGACTCAATCCTAATCCAGAGCCTTAGACACAGATTATAATCTGTTCATATAGAGGCACTCTGAGTAAATACACAATCTTTTAAAATCACATAATTCAGTTAAAAGTTTTAAACCCTGCCTCAGTCTGTCCTCACATAATCTGTGGCATACATTGTACATTTTCTATATAAAGCTTAACTGTTTCTAATACGCATTAAAATTACATGCATAGTTGCCATCAATCATTACCTGAGATTTAAAAAATAATCCTTTTTGAATCATAAAGTTTGTTCAGTTTCTTTCATGGCAGTGAACTATTAGAGGTCTGTCACCAGATCTGAATCCAACAGGACTGGACAAATTATTGAGTTTCAGGCTAGGCTTGAGAATATTTTGTGTTCGCATTGGATTTCCTTGTTATAATAAATGAACAAATATTATTATTTCAAATGTTTTGTGTTTACCTTGTATAAATTACTTCAAAAAGAAGTAAAAACACCAAACTTGTCATTTTCAGAAGCACTGCATAGACTGTAATCACTATGGGATTTCCAGCTCCACTCCGGGTTCTAAGTTTTCCACTCCCCACTAACTGGTGAGAGAATCCTCCCTCGGAGCAAGAGGAAACACAGATGCGCTCCTATCTCCAGGCAAATATCAGACAGCTCCTTGCTCTGCAATGCTCACAACATACTTCTGGCCTGTAACGCCCCAAGCAAAGACAACCAGAGTGATAAAAACAGTGCATGTCCTAAAAAATGTTGGCCTTTTTGGAATGCGGCTTGAGATTAGAGTACCAGAACCAAATGTTTTATAAAAATATTTCAGTTTGAGGTCAAGGTCAGTCGTACAATTGGATGAGATTGGGTTAGGTTTTGACCTAATACTGATGTAGACCTTCAGAAACCATTCAGCCAGCTAATGGAGGGTGATGGTGACTGTTGGACTGTGCAGTTGATGTTAAATGTGCCAATTATAATCTTGGATCCAAATACAAAGGATGTGACACCTCTGATAATGACGCATTACTTTGATTATGAGAGCAGGCAGCTGTGTCTAAATGTGATTATGAAATATTTTGAGACAAGGTCTTTGGTGTTCTTCGGGTCTGCCAAACCATAATCCACAGACAATGAGAAAGTAGGTCATTGAGCATGAGCCAGTTTGTGCATGACTGACAGCAAGGGTCTTTTTGGTATGTGCGCATTTGTGTGTTATGTTACTGGATATCAGCCTGACACCCACTGTGGGGTTCACACACTGCTGTGAACCCAGACAATACAAGCTGGCATGGATGGAAACCAGCTTATGCAACCAGGAAAGGTCAACATGGACAAAGCCAGATCTTCTTACGCCACCTATTCCTGCACTGCAGTTATCCGTGAATCTGTCTGAAACATTAAAGATAGTAAGTCAGTTCTCATGACTGGGCTTCCACATTTGACATTCATTCGCATAATTTGCAGATACAGGCTAATTGCAGGCACCTATGAAAAATGCAATGCCTACTACACATTCAGAAATACAGTACAAATGTGACAAGGACACAACAAAACTAGACATTTTATGAAGGCAATTTGAGTTATACATGCCCATGCACATTATATTGTCATGAGGTTGTAATTGGTTTTCAATTACTAAAGCGTTTTATAATGCATTGCTATGCGATTGCCAAAGTTTTTCTTTTTGGGTTTTGAAAGTTTGAAGTATGGTATGATACTTCTATAGTATTGGATTTTTTTCCCTCAGATAAAAAACTGGAAACATATATGATCTGTACTGTCAAAAAAAGAAGCTGCTGTTGTAATTAATGGTGAGCAAAATATATATATATTTTTTAATCCTGCCATCAATAAATCCATAATTATTTTATTGGCATGGCTGATAATCTACAAATGGCTAATAATAAAATTATATAATAGGGCCCCAAGATTAATTAAAATAAAAAAGAGATAATTTAATTCACACTACATTTTAAGTGTGATTTCTAGATCTGGAAATGTCATGTAAATGAAAAAAATCTCCATGGGCATTTCTCTAGTTAGGCCAAGCTCTAAATTATTTTAGGAAATAAAAATTTAACAAAAAATTTTTTTTTTATCCTTTTCCTTTTGAAAATCTCAAATTATTTTCTAGTTCAACACAAACAAATGTAGAAATCACAAATATTGTTGTGGACAATGGGGGGCCTTGGATTCAAAAGGGTTGAGAACCACTGCTCTAAACTGTAAAAATAGGAGAGTAAATGAGCATGCATAATAATAAATACCCAACATCATCAGTTACAAATAGCCAATATGGTCCTGATATGTAATCCCTAGATATAATATCAAATTAGGCATCAAAAACTGCTGCTTCCTCACCACATACACATAAAACTAGGGATGCACAGATACCGATACTGGTATCGGTATCGGGCCCGATACTGAGCTCCTGTACTTGTACTCGTTAAAATGCCCCGATACCAAATGCCGATACCACACAGCATGTGATAAGTGCCATATTCAGACAAAGAAACACAGACAACAGAACAACAGACAGCAGAATGGAGTTATTAGAAATTAAAGATGTCTACGAAGTATATGTATGTAATGAATATAAAACATTCAGTATTAACGCCTGTATAGCTGATTTGCGCCAGCTGGTAAGCAAATCACGCTGAGTGGATTGAGCACGCAGCAGCGCAGAGGCGCGAGCTTGTCGAGTGAATATCCCTTTCTCACATACATCACTGGAAAGTTTGTAGTTTGGTCGGATATGTCAAAAAGAAGTAAGTAAAACAATGCACTTAATGGTAGGGAGGGAGAGAGAGAGAGAGAGCGCGCACACTTCTGTTGTGTGATCTCACTTAGCATGCAAAACTAAATCGTAAATATAAGACAATTTATAAGGGCATTCACTATAAACGTAATTTATTTTCACCCTGAAGCATACACGACTTTCTGGCGAAAGTGAAACTAACAGCCTGTGTGAAATGCGCTAGGCTGTACTGTACTTGTCCCTCTCATTCTGCACCAGTACAAATACGTGCACGTGTTGCACGTGTTTTGCTTGCTTGAGTGTTTC